ATTGGTTAACTTGCTGCAAATGTCGCTTGGTGAAGTCGGAGTCGACTGGAGTAGAATACTATATGATATATCCGGCATGGGAAGAATCAGTCGAACTACCCTTTTTTGTGTTTACTGAGTATATAGATCGGTTATCAGAATTGTCAGTTAAAAGGAAATCTTGATGTTCTTTTGTGGCACGTAATACCTATCAGAGCTTCATATGATATATCCGGCATGGCAACAATATGTCGAAAACCGAGTTCTTGTATATCAAACATTTTTCTTTTACTTTTAATCATATCTAGACGAAGCTCGGCTGACATGTTGCCAGTATAATGCCATATCCTATAGATTGTTCTGTCTGAGATCCATTTAATTGTTTTGTTTATGTCTGCGAGGGTATTTGATTTTTGGCACAGCACAGAAGATAAACATTTTTGCGTTTTCTTTTTGTCATTTTTGGGCTTGGGTTGGGCTTTGCGATTGTCTTTGGCTTTCGCACGATTTCTAATTTAATGTTGGCTTTAATTTTGACATTTCTCTCTCTCACACACCATACGATATGCTGACCACGTCTTCCGCATTTCTTCAGAAAATAATGTGCTGCAATATCAGATTTTCTTGCTATAATGCTAAACATTCTTGCACGACTCTCAGCTGATGGGCTCTATATCAGACTGTGCATATATTATCTGAGCGTGTATATCAATTTAATTGTGTGTCAGCTTCGAGATATGGCTGCCCTTTTTTTTGCTAGTCGGTTCCCCTTTACCCTATACCCCTTTTTCAGGTATTTTTTATATACAAAAAGTATTTTTTGACTACACTTTTTTTCGGACCAATGACCGACAAAATACAAATGCGCCAAATGCGAGGGGGCAAGCGACATGAAACAAATAGCAACAACAACAACAACAGCAACAGCAACAACAGCAACAGCAACAACAACAACAGCAACTGTGAAAAACCACAAAAACCGGAATTCTTCAAGTGATCTTTTCGTTCAATCGACACAAAAATGAAAAAAAAAACTAAAAAAATAAAAAGTATATATAAAGAGCAATTGTACTGTAACTCCAGTTCCCCTTCCGCTCTACCTCCCCTGCTACTTGCTCTGTGTCTCTACGAGCTGGCGTGTACTTTGGCACGCCCACGAAATGCAACAGGAGTTGGTTATGTTTTTTTCTTCTTTTTTACACTTTCACTTTTGTTGTTTTTTTTTTTTTTTTTTTTTTTGTTACTTTACAGAATTCTTGGGGCTAACAGCAATTCGTAGAAACCGCATTGCTTGTCGCTGGCTATTCTACATAATTTCTGGTTTATAGCCGGGTTTCGATTTGGTTTTGTAAACAACACATGGGAAAATTGGTTTGTTCGCCTCTCGTTGATTTTAGAATGGGGCGCACGAACAACAACAACAATAACAACAACAACAACGGCAATAGCAGAAATTGTTTATGTATTTATGTAATTGTCTTGTTGAAAATAGCGCAAAAACATACAAATAAAACGTGTTAAAGGCATTGTTATTGTCGATATGTGTCTGTTATGTCTAGCTATACGTAAGTTAGCTTGTATGTGTGAGCATGTGCTTGAGTATTAGTATTATTTCTTCTACTTTTAATGCGCCTCTTTATGTGGGCTGCGCTTGTTGTTGTAATATTCCACGCGCGACGAAGCGTGCACACAATATGCAAAAACAAAAGCTGCAAAAGTACACGATACACGACGAGCACACGAATCACGCACGAAAACGAAACACGAGTTTTTTTGTTGTTGTAGTTGTGTAGTGTGCAGGCCGAGCGCGCATGCGCCTCGCACGTTTACTTGCTACGCTGGCTGCTGAACGAATGATTTCGGTTGTGATTCGAGCTGCTTGCGCGTGCGAGCGTGAGAGCGAGAGTCCGACTGAGTGTGTATTTGGGATGTGAAAGAGATCGGCGGCAGCAGCAGCAGCAGCACAGCTGAGCGACGCGATCAGTTTGTGTGCGGGTGAGAGACACATTTTGCAAAAAACGTGTGCGCGATTTTGAGAGCGACTAACGTTCGCACACACACACACACACACACACACACACACACACACACACACACACACACACACACACACACACACACACACACACACACACACACACACACACACACACACACACACACACACACACACACACACACACACACACACACGCACGCACATGCACATGCAGGTAAAGCGTAAACGCAAACAAGTGCGTCGGTTAGGTTAGACAAGGTCGATTTCCTGATCTGCTACACATGCATAGCTGGTACGCTACGTATATATTCTATGATAAGTTGTTCAACGCGACACACCTATGGCATATAAGTTATTTCTGTTTACTTGACGTATACAATTTATTATCGTTATAAAAAAAAAACTAAAAAAGTACATTTGCACATACATATGTTTGCTGGCAAACAACACGAAGTGCCATATTTTGTTGTGTGTGCAGTAAATAAAAAGTATTATAAATTCAGATAGTTGCCTGAAATGACTATTGCAACTTAAAAGTCAAAGCTTAGCTTATTTTAAAATAAATAATTTTAAATCAATTCGAACTATTTACCGTGATGCTTAAATAGACATAGACACGGAGGCTTTTGTTTTAATCACTTTCAATTTATGCCACTTAATGTATTCCTTATCACAAAGTTTCATGTACGTAAATGTACATGCCTTATCGCAGTATTATAGACCTCACTTGTCACAGCCATGGCTACTGGGTTATCATAACCATTCATTCATACACACAAAGCGCACTCGATTCACTCACATGGCCGGCACTCACGAGTTTTGCACATCTGCTGCTACGATCATGTAAGATGAGAATTTTACTCACACGCACACACACTTACTCTCTTACTCTCTCTCTCTCTGTCTCTCTCTCTCTCTTTGTGAGTGTGTATTGTATATAACAGCTGCCGTGACATCTGTTGTTGTTTTTTTTTTTGCTCCCAAGAAACGGGTAGCGGGCCAGGAGCAGTCGTAGTTGGTGCAGCCGGCTTTCAAGTGCGGAGGTTGCACAGATTAAGGAAGCAACTGTCGGCGGCGTTGCATGATCATCGGCATGCATTATTATCATAATGAATCATCATTTGGTTTCAGTTTTTATGAGGAAGCGCACAAAGTTAACTTTCTTCTTCTTAACTTTGGCGCTTCATAGTCGAGTTTTCAATTTGTACATAATGCAATTAGCTTGTTGCTGACGCAACTAAAATGTTAAATTAAGTCGGCCACTAAATTAACACGAATCGCAACAACAAATGCCAATCCTAAACTTTAAGTCCAAGCAAATTCAGACAATGGCGTGCAAATATTTAAAACAACAATTAGACACAAACACACCCCAAAAAAAAAAGCAGAAAAACAAGCAATAAACTTGTAAGAATGCTCCAGCCAAATATTGCTAGACTTGCAGATACCCTGTAATCAGTTTTTGTGTAATCTGACAGGAAATCAAACAAGTTCCTGAATAACTTGTTTTTTTTTACGAAATCAAGAAATAATCCTGACAGATTTTGTTTTGGTGTGTCGGAGGAGTAAGGGGGTCATCCATATCATCTATAGGAATCTTAACCTCTTTTTTAACATATAAAATATTTGATATTTATTTAAAAATATGTTTTAATATTATTATTTCTATGATCCGAAAACAATATTCTATATTTCCAATAACTACAAGTCAATCACACCCAATTCGCATAGGCACAGAGTATTTGAAATGGAAAGGAAAATCGTAAAACTATATTTAGGAGCAGCTGCCCAACCGCTGACATTTCGCTGGTATGGCAAACTTGTGAACTTCTCGACGGGTTGTGTGGGTGCGACCACAACGCATGCGCATTTCTGGGAGGGCACAGACAACCACAACCACAACCACAACCACAACTACAACAACAACAGAATCGATGCCACAGCTGCGCGTGTGCAGACTGTGTGCTGCCAAAGTAGGCGCTACTTATCTGCCACAACGAGTGGCACGATCGGGAGACGGAACCGTGGGCGTCCAACACAGACAGTTGCATAGGTCGGGGGGAATGAATATAAATAATGCAGTCGCAGTCGCAATTGTGCAATTTTCTATTGCATACTTGTGGGCGGTGCGCGAAAGTGAAGCAAGATCAGGTGGCATACAATTTTGCATACTTAAGTGCGCCAAGGATTGAATAAAATTACAAAAGAAAACCCTTTTTTAAAGCACATAACATTTAAAAATAATAACATTTCAATAACATACCCATCTGAAGAATAATTGTTAGATGCTTCAGGAATATTGCAAATTTACAACAACATATTTTCTTCACTTGTTTTATGAGTTTCACCAAAATCAAAACCATGGCGAAAAAAAAAAGAAACGAACTTTCAATTTGGAAAAGATGTTAGATGTGTTGATTAAAAAAAATGTGTAGAAATCAAAAGGAATGTTTAGGTCTGAGAGGTATTTCAATTTTATTCCGACTAATTTCATTTTGACTTGAGAAATTGTTTTATGTTCAGACAGCAAATCAATCTAGATCGATTCGGCAAAGTCTCTTTCATGAAATTGCTATTTAAACTGGGAGGAAATATCACAAAAAAACAAATATTTTTTCAGTGTATAATTAGTTTTCGTTAAAGATTAAGTTATGAAAAGAGTTAAGGAGAAATATATTATCGTAAATAGTATTAAAATTCTAAAAAGTTGGCAGTTTGTAAAAGAAAACCTTGATGATTCGGGCAATGATCAAAATATTCCTTAAGATTATCCCAACATTCTCCTATGCTAGATTCTCAAGCCGCAGTACGATTCGAGAAATTGACTCGAGATAATTGTCTAGATCCTAGATCTGATAAATCCTCATCAAATATTATATATACATATAAGTTACATACTCGTAACTATACCTACTTCCCTAATTCATTCGCTTGAACGAGATCAGAAGGCACTCCACTCGATTCCAGCGCAAAATATAATATATATAAATTGAAAAAAAATATTATATAAAACAAAACTCACCTTCCATAACGTATACAATGCTGCCGACATCTCCCTCCTTGATGATTAGATTTTTGGCTGGATATTTAACCGGATACATGCAATCGACAATTTCGCGTATTTGTGCCAAGTCCAGGTTCTTCATGAAATCATTATCCAAAATGGCCGCTTTGATAAGTTCACGGGAACTGAAAATTGATAAATGCATAGATTCGGTTAACGATAAATATATTCAATAAATTACGTTACGGCCATGTCAAATATGGTAGCAAACTGTCAATGGACACGTCCTAAAATGATCGGTCGTGCTCTTAACAACTATTCTGCACATTCGACGCTGACAAAGTCAAAAGGCCAATTAATTCCACAACTGACACATATAAATCGTTTTTTATCTGGTTCGCCAGTTTGGCTTACAACCAATACAACAAGTTGCTGTCATTGTGCGTAAAGAAAAAATATAGGAAAATAAAAAACGTTAGCTTGATATGAAATTAAAGCAAATTTGAAAATAAGACAGTAGGGAGAGGTAGGTTTTGAAGAGGGGGCCGAACTGCAGCCACATGCCATGTTGCCAATACCTGTAAATGTCAAATGACTTTATCTGTCAGCGAATTTGACAACGAACCAACCAGGCAGCCGAGCAGCCGGGCAGCCGGCAACTGTATCGACTTGGGCCGATTAATTAAAGCCCAACTCTTAATATCGGGCGTAACGCGGCTGTCGTCATTTCGGGGTGCACCCAATTTGTAAGCTCTGGCAATGTGGCGCATGCGCATAGCAACCAATTTGAAGCCACGATAGTGGATGATGAGTTCAGCTGTGTGGGCTGTGGAGTGGAATGGAGGTTGCCAGCCAGCCAGCCAGCCCGGACCAGGCCAGGCCAACAGACAAGCTGCACTGCCTGTTTGGCAGGTAATCGCATATTTTTAGCACACACAACAAGACAACACTTACAATTAAAATATATAAAAATTTAATAAACATACAAGCTACTCGATACGCGACAGTCACGCAGTTAACGGCGACGTTAAACTCCAAGTTGTACACTGCAAGAAATCGTGGACTGCATCTTAAAGAGAATTGTGCAGATATTTGTATAAGCAAAACTTTGAAAGCACAAAATAAACATCTTATGGATAATTAAATATTAATATAAATAAATAGAGAGTGCAGATAAGGTATGTATTCCTCATAGCATCCACTTTTACGAAGATAAGAAAATAATTGGGAACAGAGAAGAAAAGACCTCACAAAATTGCAGACAAAATGTTGTTAGAAACTCATCTTGTTTTTCATTCGATCGCCTCTAAACTAGTTTCAAAGAGATCTGAATAAAATATATTTAAAATAATAAAAATAAAAAGCATAAGTTTCATTTTTCAAGGTGGAACCTTTTTCGGAATTACTGAAAAACAAGCATACGCCTAGATAAGCCAGGTTCAATTTGTAATATAATATAGCAAATTATCCATAACTAAATCGGAGGAGCAAAATTATCTAAATTCTAAAAAAAATACTTCAACATACTGATATCATCAAGAAAATCATCGCAGTTATAGAACCGAAGCTAAGATTTCTTATAGTGTAGTCGTCGTAGGTGCCAGTTGGTGTCAGTCGCCTAGGAAGCGACCAATTTAATTTCGCATGCTGCAAGCGCCGTTTTTTCTTGGGGTTTTTTTTTTTTGCGAAAGAAAAATGCGTATTAGATTTCAACGCCCCGACCAAAATGTTTATTTGGGCACCCGAAACGGGTTCGAGTTTTAGAGTTCGATGTGGTTCGCGGCTGTGGCAACGATGCTATTGGTGCAACACCCGCGGCGCTATTCCAACGCCACAAGATGCAAAATACCCTAAGATTGAAGCGCTCGAAGAGTAGTTTAACTCTTCAGTTTAACATTTGGAGCATCTATGAAAATGCTGTGTAACTCTAGTCCATAATTAGGGCAGAGAATACAATAAAGTAAATGCAGTGACAATGGTAAATGATGCGTAAAAAATATATATATATAGTTTAAATAAAATATTATTTAAGAATAATAAAGATAGTACTTAAAAATTGATTAATTCATCAACATTTTTGTTACGTCTTGAATGCAATTGAAACATAATTGAACAATGTCCATTTCTAATGGAATCTTTGTACTTCAAAAGTTAAATATCTCTGCGTCATTTATCTAATCTTAACTATTCTATAGCATGAGTTTGTGTTCAATAATCGATAACTTGTCTGAGCAAATCTCTTTGCTTTTAAGATCTGGAGTCACCAAATTTGGCATGGTCTAGCTTCTAGTTTATACAGATAGAGTATCTTTCAGTTCTTACAGCAACTTTTACTTGTTGTTAATAAATCCCAATAAATATATGAAACATATCGCTGGCTCAATTTACAGGGCATGCATATAGTCGATCTTTAGACTAGTTTTTTGCATTTGTTATGCGTAAATTAGCATTCGCACAAGCAGCACAGCAGGCAGAAATGCATATGGTGTGCAATTTGTGTAAGCCACAGTGGAGGCATTCGCTCGTTGGCTGCAAATGGTGTGGCAGGGTGCCACTTTCTGGTCATGCCACCGCGGGCGAGCCAAACAATTAATAGCTTCAATTAGACCTTTGGGGCGTGCTGGCAGCCAGTCAGCCAGTCAGCCAGCCAACGTTCCAGTTGTCTATCGGAAGCTATAACCATTTATATGACTATATTTGTGCGTAAATTTGATTTTATGCATGCCCAGGCATGCCAAGGCTGAGCTAGCACCAGCCCCTCCACAACAAATAGACGCCAACGAGTCGGCGCTGCACCTTTTTCTCAGAGCCTCCAGCCTCCCAAGGCGCAAATCTCACAGTTTGAATTTGAGAGTTTCAATTGCGGGTGCGTTCAATTATTTGAAGTTGACTTTTGCTTTCAGTCCAAATTGGCTGTGCAAATAGTTATTAGCGACAGCAGCAAAAGCAATTGGAAAATCCACATAGACCACAACTCGAACCAAAGACCTGATGATATATGCGTATGTAATTTGAGTTAATAAAGATAACTCAAAGTGTTTTGTAAGTTGCAAATTGTGTGTGGGCGTTAGTTTATGCCTAGCTGTCAAATTGCATTTAACACCTGCAAGATAGTGTTGCGTAATGTGCGAGAAAAACGCCAGGAAACAAAGTATGTAACTAAATTAAGACAAAGTGATTTTAGGAAGCACATTTATATTTATATACTTAAGGTATCTAGTTAAAAACCCCTACAATTATTTGATTTCAGACTGTTCTAAGATATTTAATATACAACACTGAGCCTCTTTTCTAGTCGCATGACTGTGGCCCTACCTTATTCTTCCTTTATTCGCAAGTATTCTTAGGGCATGTCCTAAATTAGACAGCTAAATAACTGACATTTATGGATTGTATATAATATCCAAATTTTTAACGAATGAAGGCGACGAATTGCCGACGTGAAATTCACGAGATATTCAAGCTCTAAGATTTTTGAAAAACTTTGCTGTTGTAGCCAACTCGAGAACGTGAAGTCCGATTGCGAAAAGAGTGGATCTGCATAAAAAGTTTTCAATTCCAGGACTAACCCCTCAGATAAGCATGCAAATTTCTCCGCTTTCAAAAATCCTTCAATATTTGCGACTAATTTGAATACTGATAAAATGGGCCCTTAAATTTAATACAAATTCCGTAGCATACCTAAAAGGGTGGATGGAATTTATACAATTTCTATTATATTCAACAATCTCTCAGAACGGATCATATATAACCAAGCTATTAGAATAAGTTATATTGTATCTTGTTTTAATATGAGTTTAGTTTTAATAAAAAATAAATAAAATGTTAGAAACCTGCGCTTTTCAACAAAAGGCGCCTTGGGCAACAGAGATCTAAAATGGCGATTCAAAATGAAATTATATAGAAACAGCTTTTAAATGTTAGGAATTGTCCAAGTCTAATAAATATGCCATCTTCTTCGACTCTTTAAAAAGTACATATTCTTGTTCAACATTAGCAGAAGGCACGATCTGCCTAGCTCTCTCAATTTTAGAGATCTTAAGAGCTGAATTCAGTCCGTAATTGACTACAAAAACTTATTACAGCCATAATTTGATTTATGCCAACTATTAAAACGTTTAGCCTACACTTTCAGCGCAATAGGAAAAAGTTATTTGCGAACATCTTGTGAGTAAATAAAATATAATAATTCCATACAATACACAACTATTAAAACAATCTGAAAATCTTGCTTTCAATATGCCTTTGATTTGCAAGATTTTGATCTTTATTATTGCTGTAAATATTTGGTTATTTCGGCAATAAAAACTCGATTTTATGATTAAATGTCTTAGTTGAAGATTTGGAATTTGTATTTTTGTAGTAAATGGATATGAACCATATCGAAGATGTTCTGATTTTTAGCTAAACCTTAACAATAAATATAAGGCAAGATCTAAATTAATGAGAAACTTTTCCACCTCATTAGTTTTTATATTATATTTTATATATAGTTAAATACTAATTATGAGTGAATACCTCTTTATAAATTACAGTCCAGAAAATATTTGGATAATTTATGCATATCAAATAAATATATTTAAGCGCGCATTGCGTAAGGGTTTATCAAGACTTTAGTTTTAATAACCAAGTGACTTTTGTGAACTTTGCCTAATTGCAGCTTTATTATGCAATTATAATAGGTAAGTTGTGCCCCACATTTACATAAGCTTTGCTCTTGGCCATCTCACGAGTAGCTTTCCTAATGCGCTGCAGCAAGTTCTCATGCGACCCCCTGCGACAGACACGGCTGGAGCCGGCACAACTTCGCACAATTTGCTGGCATTATTTATTAGATGGCCCCGTCGAGAGCACTTGGAGTAGTGGGACTCAGAGTGGAGCTGCGAGCTGCAAATGGAGGCAACAATGTTCGCTCGACTGGAGTCGAGTGCAACGTGCAGCGCCGGCGGCCTGCGAGGTATTTGATTTATGCCACGCGAGTGTCAAAAAATGTCCTGTTGCACATACACGTTGCCAACGGCTGCGGCATAGATTTTAGTCATAGATAGAGTGTACGAATTGGTTAGCTACCCCTCCCCCTCCCCCCTGTCTCTTTGAGTTTTCGGCCATTAAAAGGCTGAATTGTTGACAACGCATTTGCAGTCGGATTTCAATTTGCCGCGATTTTCAATGATTGTGTCAGCAGTTCGCGATTGGCCACAAAATCGCATAAATTGCGTCCAGCTAACAAATTTGCGGCATTATTTAATGCCAAATGTAGATTTGTCACAGATAGACAAATATGTATATATGCACATGCAAATGAATTGAAATAGTCGCCAAATTGCCGTCGGCCTGCGACCACATGAATTGTAGTTTCTTAACAAGGTCAAGACGATCAATCGAGGACTAAACTCAAAGATTATCCCAATAAAGAAAAATTAACAAATCAGTGCAACACATTTTGAATCTTTTTTTCTTAGCACTAAACATTTGCTTGGCTAGCCGCTAAATTCGACTCTGGGACATAAAACAGCACAAACATCCAAATTAACTTTGAAGAAAACTTGTGCTTAAACGTCCTGCTTAGGATCTGTATACCTTTTCTTTCGTATAGGTATATCATCCGGAAACTAAGCATGACAATACATCAAAAAAGTCGTTAAGAATTATGTTCTTATGACAAAATGAATTACATTTGCGTCGCTTTTGACCTTAAATAGCGAAACTAAGTTAAATAGACATATAGCGAAAAATAACGATGAGTAAAGGGTTGTTTTGTAGAAAAAAGGAGAAAGTGAGGATACATTTGGCACTCCAAAGATTTACTACCTAAGATACCCAACATTTAATACAAATAAAAATATTGCAGAAGTACCTTAATTGTTCCCGTTTAATTCGCGATAACTTGAATCTTATTAAAATGAAGGTAAAGACTTGACATATGTAGGTCTATCTGGTAAAACAAAGTCTATTAAAACAGATATAGGAGGTAAAGCTAATACCCTGGCTAATGATAATACACTAACTAAAGCTTATACCCTAGCCTATAAACCTATAACGCAGAGTGTGTACGTTAAGTAAAATAGAAGAAGAAATATTTCTATTTTCAGCAAATAAAATGACAGAAAACCAACAAATGTTTATTTAATTTTAATTGATGAACAACAAGAAAGAGGGTCTACCTTCGGCACGCCAAAGATTTAATACCCTAACAAGCACAGGGAAAAGTTAAGATATCTTGACTCGTCTGTTGCTACTGATCAAGAATATGGATATACTTTATGGGGTCGGAGATGTCTTATGTTATGCGTTACACATTTCACGACAAAATTATAATGCCCTTTGCTAGGGCATAGCATGTGAAACTAGCTAAGAAACTGAAATTGTTTTACGAACTCCGTTCGAAAAAACGCCAGTTTGTTCAACTGGAACACATAATAAAATATGTATATCTAAATTTAGCACAAAATTTCCACATCTAAACGCTGTCTAATTCCGTAACTAAGTATAATAGCTCATTAATAGCTGCCAGACAAACCATCATTGACAGCCAATTGGGCGCGCGTGTCGTCTCCCGCCAATCTGCAGGAAACATCTGAACGCAGAAAACACACAAAAAAACATATCACAAGAAAAACACAAAACTAAAAAATAAATATTTATGTTGTTTTTTTTTTTCGCTCTCACTGCAAACAAAGACGAAGAACGCAAACAAATTGGCGGCAAAACAAAAATGTATAAAAAACCAGTTCAGAACAGATGCAGTAAAAGTTCCAAAAAAAAAAAAAAAACCACCAGACAACAGCCAAGTGTGAAAATGAATAAAGCCCAATGGATATGTACGGAAAAATGCACCCACGCATTTTCACAACTTTCACAACATTTTCAATTGCCCTTGACGTGGGCTTTGCGACTTTGTTAATAAACTTTAGTACAAGATACAAGATACATAAATCCAATATAAATACGAGATACAAGATATGAAATCTGTCAACAGCTGAAGGGTATACGCTGTTCGTTGTGCTATTCAGTTATTTGTGCTACCTTTCTTATATTTTATATGCGAAATTAATGATATTTTTAACAAATTTTGGGAGGCGCCTTTTTGTTCTGTTCCGATCAAATGTTATAAAAAGAATTTGTTTAAAAAGAAATATCAAAATGTTGCCACATGACGCAATTAAATTGTGTGCTAGCTGCCCATTTGGCACTGGCTTTATAGTAAATTATATATATATAATATAGATCTAGTATATATATAGTATATGACACTGTCGAAGGCCACTTTGATGATTTGTGGGCAGACTGGGGGACTGTGAACCCGCCGAACTGTCAGCACAATTTTGAATAAACGCATTTTGGGACAGTCGAAAGGCGCTGTTTCTATCGATTAAGATCGCCGCCGATGACGCTAATGATGATCATTATCGGCATCGGTATACGAGCTAAATATATATATATACATTAATTATATATAAATATACATTTATAATCTATAGCTAACTCTGTCTCCGTCTGGCTGGTAGAGCTGGCAGCCCTGATCTTTCACTCGCTGTAATCAGTATTGTTTCACATTTTAATATCAACCGAATATTCTGTATAATTCTTGATGGAAACCTACCTAAAAGTTTTCCCTCACGGCCGGAAATGTGGATTTTCGAGACACGTCACACACAACAAAATTAACGATAAGCTGCTTGAAATCAATTTTCCAGGAATGAATAATCTAAGTAATATTTCAAGGTTTGCTTGGTTCATAGCATATAAGTAAACATAAACATAAAAATACTCTTGTAAACATCTCCGAATTATTGTTCCTATGGGTGCTACAAATTATAATACTTGATAGGGTTTCGCAGACATGTTAAGAGAAGAGGGCAACTCGCTGAGTCAAGTCTTAAGAAAGAATTTTTGAGCGATTTCCCTTGTGGCAGCTATATGATATAGTTTCCCGATTTTGATAGAATTAGGCTCATATATAGGGAGGCTAACAATGCTAGTAAATGCAGATTTTTGACAAATCAAAGAACTTATTTTTGATAAGATCGTCCTGCGTTATATTCTACATGATATAATGAACGGATCCGTCAGCTGCGGATATATGTTCTACCTGCAATAAAAAGACGAACTCAAGCGAAGCTTTATGATAATAGTTGAAAAAACTGAGAGGCTTTGTAGTTTGCATAGAAACAGGTTGACGGAAAGACAAACTGATCAGGAATATGTATATATAATTGTAAAGTCCAGGACTTCTCCTTCTAGGCTAATTATCATTTAATCTACAAGCATTAGAAGCCGGAGCATCAATCAATCTTGGAGCTCATTCTAATCTTTTGCGCGACTAAGAATTTCAAACAAATAGAATCTCACACATTTGCCACTCACCGTTCATCCTTTTCGTATTTGGGAAAGCTGATGTGATCGAGCAGCACCGAGGATTCGCTCTGCGGTTCCGCCGAGATGCCCTGGGCACGTTGACGCTGAAACGTTTGGCCCGACTTGCGTGTGGCGCCCGTGGCAGTGGTGGGTCCAGCGCCGGAGCCGGAGCCATTGCCAGCGCCGGGCGAGGCGGCGCCGGCGCCCGCACAGCCGGCGGCGCTGCTGCGACTGAAGGGGAAGACGCTCTGGAATTTATCCAGATGCGAGCGCAGTTCGGCAATTTCGTTATCCTTGAACTGGAGGGCGCGCTGCATCTCCTGGATCTTCATCTCCTTGGCCTGTATGATCTGGAGAAAGCGCTCCTCCTGTGGCGTGGCCGCCACGTACGTATTGTTGCTCATCATGAGCGTGGCATCGACCATGCCCACCGGCGAGGGCGTGGCTGAGCCGCTGCCCGATATGCGCAATCCCTGCATTTGTTGTGCCAGCGCCAAGGAATTGGGCGGCTGCTGCTGCTGGTGTGGCTGGGCGGTGGGTGAATGGCAGGCGCCGGGTATGGCAACGGGCTGACTGGTGGGCGTGGGCTGATACAGCACCGGAACGGGACTGCCGGAGGCGGTGTAAACGCCCTGCGTCTGTGCCTGCAACTGCTGCAATTGCTGGTAGCGCTGCTGCAGCTGCAGCTCCTGCTGATGCAGCAGGCTGCGCGGATCTGTGTGCAGCTGCTGCGGCGTGCCCGACGGCGGTGTGCCGTAGATCAGCGTATGGGTGAGCACGTCCGAATGGCAGGGCGGCCCCGGTGCGGGTATCAGGCGTAGACCCGCCGCTGTATGCTCCAGGCCCAGATAGCCAATGCTGTTCGCAGCGGGTAGCGTCACAATGCCGCTGCCGTTGTTGGCAAAGTTGTTGTTGTTGGCAAAGTTGTTGTTGCCGTTGTTGTTGTTGTTGTTGTTGTTGTTGTTGTTGTTGACGATGTTCACCAGACCCAGGTCGGGCTGAAACTGATAGTTGGCGTTCGGCTCCTGCTGCATGCTGGCCGCTTTTCGCAAATTCGTATTCGAATTCGCTTTCGGCAACGGAATCGCAATCGCAAACGCTTTCGTGCGCCTCTGATCTTCGGCGCTGCTGTGGCGCCGATAGCGACGCTCTACGGGGCTGGTGGTGCTGGTGGTGCTAGCGGCTGGTGGCGGGGGTGCTTGAGGGGCCGTTGGCAGCGGCGGCGGCGGCGTCTGCTCTCGGATGCCGCTCTCTGGGCTGATGTCCGGTGGCTTGGCCTCGGTGTCGTCTCTGCTGATTAACGCTGGCTGCAGCTTTTGGTATTCGGCATAGACAGTGACGGGTGGTGCTGTGGTTGCGATTGGTGGTGCATTTGTGCTGCTGCACGGCTCATTTGTGCAGCTGTGCTGTTGTTGTTGTTGCTGTTGTTGCTGTTGTTGCTGGTGGCTGTTGCTGTTGTTGGCTGGCCGCTTGGTTGCGAAGCACAGCCGATCAAAGCAAAAACGCATCCAGGCGGCTTTCTAGAAGAACCGCCGCCACGTGGAATTTGCTCAGTTCGTTAAACGCACACCTACACAAAGAGAAAAAGAGAGAGAAATAGAGAGAGAGAGAGCAAAAATTAGTTGTGGCTGGCGAAAAAATGAATCTTATCGTCAGCTAATCAGCAGACATTCGAACTGATTTACAACAGTTGAGATTATGCGCACAATAATATTCACAATCAATTTATTGATTGACTTGTTCACAGTCAACCTCAACCCCACCCAAATTCAAGACAAACGCCTCCGCTTTACACATGCCAAATGTCGGTCCCCACAAATTAGCAGCCGTTAACTGTTGGCCCTAAAAAATTATTATCTTCATAAACATATCGCTTTTCGGCGCAAGCAATTAATCTCAAAGTACGCGAGCTTGACACAAAGACATCGTATTTTCATTTAAAATGCATTGCAGAACATTTAACTAATTTATTAAAAAGAAAAGTTTGGCATAATTCTAAAAAAATGTTTGTTAAATGCATAAAATTAATTTGTAAGCCCATAATTTATTAAGACGTATCTCTCTTTGATACTCAAGTGTGTCAAAAAACGATTTAAATAAGTAAAATATATATTTTTAACTTATTTTATGGGTTTTTTAAAGGAACACTATTTATAGACAAAGGCAAGCGAGTACAAGAAATGTTGAAACGTGTTTTTTGTTATTATACAGCTCAGTTTTCCATTCACAATTGTGTAAAATATGTGGCTTATTGAAGCATGGATCTATCCCGTAATGGAAATAAAAACATGGACAGAAAGAGTATACAATATTGATAGTGGGAATTAAGAGAAAACACTTAGTCGGGGGAACATAAGTTAGTTCTCGATTACGATCAGTTCAGGCAACCTTCTTCCAGAGACTCTGTAATGTTTATTTCAAGATTTAAAGATTTAAAGAAAAACATATATATATATATAGAGCCCAATATTAAGCACATATGAGACTGAGCGAAATCGTAAAACAGCAAACAATGAGAACATTTAAATGACTTTTAAGAGCTTATTTAAGAGCTTAAGTTAGCTTTTTAATATGTATTTATTTGTTTTGCCAAGAATCAGCCAAGAATCAGAATTTTGGCTATAACATGACAGGCATGGTATATAAATAAAGGCCACGCTTCTTTATATAATACAAAACAATTTTAACCGAATGCCTAATACAATCCACATCTTATTGGAATAAGACTTCTTGCTTTCCCTGCAATATGCTCAGTCTCTAGCTTAAGCTTCAACATTAATAAACTGAACTTAATATAATATAATTGTAGCAGTCCTTTCCAATATACCCCAGCGCGTCTTTCTAGTCCAGGGTATCCGTATAGATATGTGAACATAACATGACTGGGCGGCTTTTCGAATGTCTCTATCGCCCGGGGAGCCGCTCGACTATCGCCGCTAAACGAGAGACACGCCTTAAGTCTTTAACGATATCAGTGCGAGTTTTGTTTTATTTTGGTATCTGGATACTCGTTATGCGTACGTTATTTTTGTTATTAAACATTTCAGGTACACAATAAAAAGTGTCCAAATGCCAAGAACGCGACGCAGAAACTGGCACAGACAACTCTTGACATATTTCTGTGTCTGCTGTTGTTTTTGGCTGCGCTTCGACAATAATTCAATTCAGCGCAATTCAAACGAAATGAAAAGCCAAAAATATGCCAAATCTAAGCACGGCAAAGGTGAGCCATAAACGATTAGCAATCAGGTTTTAGCGAGAAACATCCCCGCCGAGTTCTCTGCCAACGGTACCAGGGGGCCAGAAGATTAGCAGAAGATCGGGTCCAGTTAGATCAGGCTGCCACCAAGAGTGGCAAGTAATGCGAAAGAGAGGCAACAACTGGCATGCAAAATTGCGCTGATCCAAAAGTATCAATTTGAAGAACATGCTGAAGAACTCGAAGATCACTTGAAGATCCCAGCCAGACAGAGTATTGTAGAGCTACACTGAGCAAATTTACACTTAATGGTAGATTTTCAGAATTGATATACTTATTATCAGAGTTCCCTTTTGATGCTCTTGAGGATCAATTGGATACAGAGCCTTATAAAAGGATCGTCTGTTATGATCTTTTGCCTACAAAAATCTCAATACATTTTCTGCTCAGTGTATTTAATTTGTGTTGTAGTCTCTTGCGTAGGTGTAAAAACATTGAGAGTTGCCACTTGACTAGTCGAAGATCGGCTTGAAACCTGAAGAGCAGCTGGCAAATACAAAAAATAATAACAGATGTGCTGATCGCATAAATTAATTTTGGACTTCGACTTGTCAACCACTTGACGAGAGCGAACTAAAGATGTTTGCATACAGGGCTATAAGAACTGCGTGTAAATTTACCAATGATCAAAAACGTGTTTTTTGTTGTTTGTAAAAATCAGATTATTTTTTTTTAAATATTCAACTGGGAAATACGTAAACAAAAAGTGAATTAGTTAAAGAAAAGCTTAAGTTCTTTTATAGACGACGAGAAGAATTCCAATAACTAAAACTGATCACTGACTGATAGCGAAAAAGGTCAGAGGTCTGTTTATTTACTGGCCGTGATCTATTTAAAGCAAAACTAACTCTGATTTAATTGTTGTTTACAAGTAATTAAGACATATATATTAATGATCAGTGATCACTCTAAGAAACTGCTCTCATAAAAATATTTGAATTGGCTATGGAGTTTCTTTTGTTTTCCATAAACGATCTTTGTCAAATCATGTTAAAAACAATGTTATATTATGTGGCGATCGTTTCAAATATTCTTGCAACTAATCTAAAAACAAACAAGTAAGATGGGAGTGCCCGACTAGGGCATAGCCTGACGCTTATACTTAAGCCTAATGCAGCTATAAACTGAAAGATACTTTATATATCCATACTTTTCTAGAAGCTACATGTTCAATTTGTTGGCTTCAGATTCGATAATCTAAGAAATTTGCCCATAAAATAGGTTTTCGATATCGATTTATATCGATTTCTTGGAAACGGAAAATGTTATCGATTTTCAGAAACAAACTCGCACTAGAAAGACCTTAATTTCAAGTCTGTAGCTCTTATAGACTCCGAGATTATTGCGTTCATACATACGGACAGACGGACAGACAGACGGACAGACATACAGACGGACATGGCTAGATCGACTCGACTATTGATCAAGAAAATATATACATTGTGGTATCGGAAATGCTTCCTTCTGCCTGTGACATACATTCACACAAATACATTATAGCCCTTTTGACCCTTCTTCAATGGATTTGGAGAATAAAAATAGAAATATTCGGAATAATATTCAAATAGAAATATCTACAGTTCAATTTTGAAGGATCTGGTGTTTAGGTTCTTAGGAAAAGCTGTTCGCATATTTCATAATTAGGCCATCAGCGATCGCTCTTAACAAATTGACATATTTGGGCATTTATTCGCTTTGTGTTATCAGTTTTATGCAAAACATTGATCGATCATTGAAGCCGAGCAGCTATGCAAAACGATCGTATTAAATGCTAATTAGCATTTAAATGATCGCACAGCGGATTAATAGTCGATTTGTATGCCAAGCTGTTGTTCTGACAAACAATGCGAATACAAAACAACAACAATGGCAAACTAATGACATTGGGGACGCCCCCAGTGAGAAGTGGGGCCAATTACGGCGCGTAATTGGGCGCGAAATGAACTAAAAGCGAAAACTACAGAACAATACGTAAGTTGTGCTGGCTGCAAAGCCGAAAAAGTGTTGCAAAACAGATAAAACCAATCGAGAAGCGACAACGAAAATCAATTGACACAAAAAGCGCAGATATTGCCGTATTATTTATAGAACAATTGACAGGCCACTCAAAATATTGGAAACCCAACCGTTCCCGTTCCCGTTCCCGTTGCTGCTCCCCCCAAACCCTATCCATTCGACATGTGCCATGGCATTTCAATAAATGTGTATGCCCAATGTGCGGCAGAGGCTTTTGGGCCACTTAAGCGCAATTACGCGTGCAATTTGTTTTCATCTCGAGCACATAAATAATAAACACACGAACCGGCTGTGGCGTATACGTAATATTTTAAATGATTTTATATTTTTATTGTCATTTAAATGATGCCTCCTTCTACTCCTCCTCCTCCTCTTCCGTCCATCGCCCCTCGCAGCCTCTTCATTCAGTGCGCCAGTGGAAACAGGTTCTTAACTTTAATTTGTATTATGCATACATTTATAAATATTGGCTCCCCCCTCCCTCGCCCCCTGCGACCCGCAACCATGTTGTTGTTCAGTCAATAAAATGTGTGGAAGGCGCCTTGGAATGTCAACGCAACCCAATCGAGGGTATTAACATCAATCGATCGTGAGTTCATTCATGCCACTGATAAGCCCGCCATGTCGCCCCAAAAACCATCGGCAGGCATTTCAATATAGAGACATTGTTGATCTGCGACTCGAAACATATGTCGACACCATATCGGGTAGTTTTTGCGTGCAATGCCAACAAATTGTACACGATCAGCTGCGGCGTTGCCAGACGTTGCAAATCTCACATCTCTTGGTTATGGCAAGACTTTCCATAAGCCTACAAACTCAGGAGAAGGCGGAACACTCACACATTGGGCGAGTGATCGCTGCAGTTCTTCAACTGATCTTGCCTTGTGCATGTGGCTACCTAATTAAATCTAATCTAAATAAAATGTAAGTGATCCCATTTGCTAATGAGTAAGCACTTTTGACTTAAACGATTGCTGCCATAGATGATTCACGCCAGATGATCAGCCTATTGTTGAGTGTCGAAACACTGAGGAAATAAACATTCTCGAACAAGGAACTATTCAGTAAGCATTTGCGACTACGTGAAAAGATCGCCAAAGATTACACATTGCGCTATTTACAAAGGTTCTCTAACTCGCACGAAATGTTTTCATTGAAGGATAAAGCATTGATGCAATGGTAAATAAGCTAATCGCAATTAAAACAAAGCGTTCAGGTTCTACAGTTCTACAGTTGATGGGAAATAGAAAATTCATGGGGCATGATTTGGAAATTATCTGATAATTTGCAAA